CCACTGCATCCAAAAGGATACAAAGCAGGGCATCCTCTCCTTCACTGCCCTGCTCCCACCTGCCCACTGCCTAAAGACATGACTCAGTCCTCCTTTTAAGAAGAGTGGTTAGAGGTGTCCATTAGTTTGTAATCAGGAACCCCAGTGATGAATGACAGACGAATTGTACCTCCCTTGGCCTGACCACAATCTCACTGAAACCAAAGACTTCAGTGCAAGGGGGTGGTGATATGGGAGAGCCAAATCAGAACCATTCAGCTTGGATTCAATTTGATTCGAAACCTGTATTACATTTCTCAATCACACTTGTCAAAAGAACCCGAATTATACCATTTTTGCCATTACTTGGATCATTTAAAATTTTCTGTTCCAATGACACATGGCTAACACCAATTGATTTGCCCCAGATTCAGTTTGTTTCCTTCTCACCAGGAAGCCTGTTTTAAAATATACCAATCATGTACATTCCTTCCTGCTTCATTCCTTATCATTTCAGTGTATGGGAATGTTGCTCTCAATTTATTCCCCTTGCAAAGGGGTTGGTCTTTGGACACTGTGGCCAGTTCATGGTCACTGTGCTTTTACTCTATTTAATTTTTTTAAAAGGGATATCAATAAATCACCACCGCCATCACAAAAATAACATGAATGCACTGCTCAGATGGAGAGAGCCTTCCCCCCCTCCCTTGTGGGTGAAAGAGGGCTTGAGTAGAGAAAGGGACATTTCCTTCTATTTGATGGTGTAGTCGAAATCTGAGAGGCAGGCCCAAGTTTTGGATACTGGCCCTATACTGTAGAGGAAAAGATGGCTTCTTCTGTTCCCACAGGCTTAGCTTCATCTCTACATAATCTTACCAGTGCCTGGTTTTCATGTAAACAACCACACAGAAACCTCCCGCTCTGCATCCCTGCTCCTGAAGCCACCTGCCATTCAATGGTTTCCTGTGATACAAAGAGGGGTCACAAGCTTAAGCTTACTGTCACTATTTGGGCTCATTCTCTTTTCCAGGGTTCACATCTGCTCTAAAGGGACCTCCGGAACTGAGTGCAGTTCTTGGCCAGCTGCTGTCTTTAGGGTGTCAATATGAAGAAGGATTTCAAACATATAAGAAATATTGGTGTAAAGGACCCATCTGGGGTTCTTGTACCTATGTTGTTCAAACTGATGGAACTGAGGCTGAGGCCAAGGCGGGCAGAACCTCGACCCAGGACAATCACAGTCGTTTGGAATTCACAGTCAGACTGGAGAACATCTCACAGGAAGATGCTGGGATTTACTGGTGTGGCATAGAAAAATCATGGTATGATCCTGGGTTCCAGATAAAAATTACTGCTCTGCCAGGTGAGTCTGCTTCCCAAACCTCCAGGAATTTCAAAGCAAAATTAAAGGTAAGCTCTTGGGGGGGCATGACAGAGGGAAGGAGGGATCCAGTGTGCCTTTATGCACAAGGGCCTGACGTCCACCTACAAGCTGAATTTCTAAGGAGCCCAGTGGAAGCGTATACCACAAAGAAAGAAGAGCTTAATGAAGACCAGGAGGATGCCGCCATGGTTACCAAACAGAGTTAGAGAGGCTTCAAAGGGCAAGAAAGGGTCCTTCCATAAATGGAAATCCTTCCCAAATGAGTAATATAAAAAAGGAACATGAACTCTGGCAAAAGAAATGTAAGAATATGATACAGAAGCCAGAGACATAGCCAGCAGGGATGGCTGAGGGGACTGACGCCGAGGGAGGCCCGGAAGGAGAAAACAAGAAACCGGGCCTTCTCAGCAGTTGCCCCTCGGCTGTGGAACACACTTCCCACTGAAATTCGGCTGGCACCCTCGCTGGGTGTGTTCAAAAACCAACTAAAAACATGGTTAT